TTAAGTCTGACGAGGAGAACTTGGCTTTGATGTTGTTGTGTTCACTGCCACCATCATATGTGACTTTTAGGGATACTATTCTCTATAGTTAGGATACTATCACCGTGAAAGAGATCTATGATGATTTACTATCTAAAGAGAAGATGATACATCTTATTGGAGGATCTGAAAATCATGCTGAAGGCTTTGTTGTGTGTAGGAGGAATCAAGATAGAAATCTTAGTGGAAATATAAGGAATAGATCAAAGTCATTACTGCAAGAAGAAGGAGAATATTAGAGCTGATTGCTTTGCCTTGAAAAATTGAAATAAAGCTGCTGGTGCTACGAAGAAAAGGAAGCAACATGTTAATACAACGGAGGTTGATATTGTGGAGGATAAGCAAAGTGGTGGAGAGCTTCTTGTGATTTCTGATGGAGATACTAAATCTAGTGATGAATGGGTTCTTGAATCGGCTTGTACTTTTCATATGTGTCCTAACAAGGTCGATTTTCTACAGCTTGTTTTCTAGCTAATTGTTCACTCTCAGTTGCCATTGATAAAAAGAAACAAGAAGAAGTATGGTCTGGTAATCCTTCTTGCTATTCTGATTTGAAATTTTTTGGGTGTCCAGCTTATGCTCATGTAGATAATGAGAAGTTGAAGCTGTCTAGAAAGTACATTTTTCCTTGGGTATAAATCTGGTGTGAAGGGATATAAGTTGTGGTGTCCAGAGACTAGAAAGGTGGTTGTTAGGAGGAATGTAGTATTTGATGAACTTGTCATGAATCGTGGCTCACCTCTTGGGGATTTTGAAAAAGCTGGGGCGCAAAATCATTCAACTCAGGTGGAGTTGAAAATTAGTTCAGAGAAACAATCAGAGGTTATAGAATGGTCTACTAGAGATGAGTCCATTTCAGGATTGACAGACAATAATAACTTGCCTACTTTACCTACATCACCAGCATCACGGTATTCTATTGTTAAGGATAGACCTCGTAGACAGATTAGACCTCCACAGAAGTATGGCTAAGTAGATTTGCTAGCTTATGCATTGAGTGTGGCTGAAGATATTGATTCCGCTGAGGAGCCTTCTACATATTCAAAGGCAGTCAGTTGTAGTGATTATAACAAATGGATGATTGATATGCAAGAGGAGAGGGAGTCATTAAACAAAAATAATATTTGGGACTTAGTGAAATTACCCAAAGGAAAAAGAGTGGTTCGTTGTAAATGGGTGTTCAAAAGAAATGAAGGCACATCAGAGATTGAAGATGTTAGATACAAGGATAAATTGGTGGCAAAAGACTATAGTTAGATTCTGGGTGTTGATTTTACAGATATGTTCTCATCAGTTGTGAAACATAGTTTTATTCGAGCTTTACTTGGAGTGGTGGCTAAGAATGATTTGGAGCTTAAGCAAATGGATGTCAAGACAACATTATTACATGGGGAACTTGAGGAGAGCATCTACATACAACAACCAGAGAAGTTCAAAGCTTTAGAGAAGGAAGACTATGTGTGCTTGTTGAAGAAATCCTTGTATGGATTAAAGCAGTCACCGAGTTAGTGGTATAAGAGGTTTGATTCATTCATGACTACTCATGGTTTTGATAGATGTAATTATGATAGTTGTGTGTACATCACAAAGGAAAGTGGTGATCAACTACATATTTGTTATTATATGTTGATGATATGCTCATAACAGTCAAAGATAAAGCAGATGTTAGAAAATAAAATTACAATTCAGCAAGGAGTTTGACATGAAGGATTTTGGTGCATTGAAGAAGATTATTGGAATGGAGATCTTGAGGGATAGAAAGGTTGGCAAATTGTATTTAAGTCAGAAATGATACATTGAAAAGGTGCTTGAAAGATTCAATATGGTGAAAGTTAAGGCTGTCAGTATTCCTTTGGTTACCCACTTCAAATTATCATCTAACTTATGTCCAAGTCAGATGAAGACATTGATTATATGTCTCGAGTTCCTTACTCCAGTGTAGTGGTTCGCTCATGTATACTATGGTTTGTACAAGGCTTGATTTGGCACAGGTAGTTAGTGCAGTTAGTAGATACATGGCTAATCCTGACAAGGAACACTGAAAAGCAGTGCAGTGTATCTTCGGATACTTAAGGGGCTCTTCAAATGCTTGTTTGCATTTTTGTAGAAATTCAGATGGAATCATCGGTTATGTTGATTCAGATTATGCAGGGAGTTTTGATAAGAAGACATCGGTTACAGGGTATGTGTTTACTCTTGCAGGCTGTGCTATCAGCTGGAAAGCTATTTTGTAAAATACAGTGGCTTTATCTACAACAGAATAGAATACATGGCCATTACAGAGGCATGTAAGGAGACTATGTGGCTGAGAGGATTGATTGGTGAAATTAGTGAAGACTTGCACATATCTATAGTATTCTGTAATGTTAGAGTGCAATTTTCTTGACCAAGGATCAGATGTTTCACGAGAGTACTAAGCACATTGATGAGAGGTATCATTTTGTGCATGACGTAATTGCTCGTTGTGATATTGTAGTGAGCAAGATTGATACCAAAGATAATCCTACTGATATGATGACAAAACTACTTTCCATTTCTAAGTTTGAGCATTGCTTAAACTTAATTGGTATTTGTCATTGATTTAGTCAATTGGGGCTTTTTTGGAAGAGGAGAAATAGTGTTTTAAAGATATATTTTAATTCCTTGTGACGGAATTTGGCTCAAAATGGAGATTTGTTGTGGTGTGATCCAAATTCCACGTGATTCGATATTTGGTTGATTGAAGGAAGTCTGGTATTTGGATTTGTAGAGTTCTAATATGATTGAAGATCAAATTTAAATAATAATTAGGAGTTTGTCTTGAAAGTGGACTCTTAGATGGCTAAAGGCATATTTTGAATTCCTACTCCATCTTGGACTCAAATAAGAGATTTTATATATAGCCACATTGTATCTCCATAATATAACATTCATATATTATTCTTTACATCTTTAATAACATATTGAGAGATTGAGAGTTTAAATTTCAATTGAGATTATTGAAATCTTAATATTGTAAATACAAAACTATTGATTATAGTTGATTGTTCTCTTCTATTCATGATTTTTTCCCGAATTGGGTTTCCACGTAAATTCTTGTGTTCTTGTTTTCTTCTTCTTTATTTCATTATCTTCATTATCTTGCGATTCGTTTCATAACAGTTTGTTATCCTTCCAGGAGTGTATAAGACTATAATAAATAGTTGGTAGCATTCTTTAATAAAGCAAGCAGTTAAAAACCCAGAAACCCTCTATTAAGATTCAAACGTATCATTGGTATGAGAGACACTCGTGGCAAAACCAATGCGAAATTTTGCAATGAGGTGAACAAATCCTTGGCTCGACATGAGTCCAATTTCGACCAAATTAATGCAGCTCTACGAACCTTGTTAACTATTTTACAAGCTTTAAGAGTCTTAAACACCACACACCCTAGTAAAGCTGATGTCAACCCATTTTACCCAAGTGAAACCTCACATTCTCCAAATACTGTGCGACCCAACACCCTTAATGACCATCATCACCAATATCTCAAGCTGCTCTTTCCTAAATTCAACTGTGAGGACCCAAGCGTCTAGGGTTACAAGGCAGAACAATACTTTTGAGTTTCAGAACATTGATTGTGACCAACAAATCCAGCTAGCTTCCTTCCATCTAGAAGGCATTGCTTTACAATGGCACCAATGGTTGACAAAATTTTGCAAACCACTTATTTAGGATGAGTTCAGCAGGGCAGTCCTCCTTCATTTTGGCCAAGCATATGATGAGGATCCATCCGACGCTTTAACTCAGCTCAGACAAACTACAACTGTGGCAGCTTATCAGGAAGCTTTCCCACCGAGTTGATGGCCTGCTTGAATTTTTCTTTATTGGTTGTTTTATTGCAGGACTTTCAGACGATGTTCGTATAGAAGACAATATTTATGTTGGAAGACAAATGTCCTGTGGTGCAAAGTTATGGTGCGCTTTGACAGTACTCTGGATGTCCACATATCATAAAGGGAGGTCCACAAGAAGAATAACCGCTTTCCGAGTTTGTAGTGTGTAAGTGTGAGAATTGAGAGATACAGAGACAGAAGCAGAGATGGAGAGAGGCAGTGTATATATATGTGTTGTCTGAGAGAGACAGAAAATGGTTGAGTGGTGTGATAGAGAGAGATTAAAGTTGCTACGAAGTAAGTGATATTGTAGATGGTGAGGTGGCGTGTATTTTGGTGAGAGGAAGTGTGTTTTTGTAAACAAAAAAATAGTCTACAACTTTTCATCAATAAAATTATTTCTTTGTTACTTAAATTCAACAAGGATTTTCTTCAACAATGAACTCATTAAATTTGTAAACCCATGAGGGATTGCTAAATTTGAGTCCTCTCAATATTATGTGCAATTTTGTTTGTTTTTGTTTGTTTGTTTTTTTTTTCTCCTTCTGTAAACGTCACCTACACCTAAAGAGTAATTTTCAGTCTTCCTATGTTTAGGCAGGGGAGCTCTGGTATCCGTACCCGATTTTATATATGGAAATACAATACAGCCAAATTGAGGGTGGCATTTTTCCTTACCTCCATGAAGGTGTACATTTAACAAAAAGAACAAGAGGCAAGTAACTATAATCCTATTACCTAAACAATTATGTACAATCTTATTAAAAGAGAGCCTAACTAAAGTTACCCTAGTAGCTACCAAAAAAGATTCATGCCTCTGGTATCTCCACCCCTTCCACAATTCACTTTCCTTACAAGTCTACAATCTCCATTCCACCTTCATTAATCTAACATCTATCTTGTCGAGTCTTAAAGCACATCGTCGTGCATCTTAAAACTTTTCGTGACTGATTATTTTATTCACACTTTCTTGCATCAATATTGCAGAAAATTATTGAAGATAAATTATTTCATTTTAGAATTCAACATGATGGAGCTCATGACTTCTTTATTATCATACAATTAGTTAAACGGATATTTTTGAAACATACAATCGCAGTTGAACTACTCAAGGAATTTCTTGAGCCAAAGGGCTGAATTCTTGAGATATCTTTTGAGTCCTTGTGAGCGATCCACATAAACTAAACCAAACCTTTGAGTGTATCCAGAACCCCATTCAAAATTATCTAAAAATGACCATGGGAAGAAGCCCTTCACATCAACCTTATCCCTATAAAAAAAAAAACAAAGTATAAATTATCATTCTTTCATTTGACACCATCTACAATAAATAAAGAAAAGAAAAGTGTGTATAGAACAACTTCGTTAGTTTAAATAACGTACCAAAATTTATTGTGTATAATTTTCAAGTACGGATGCAAATTAATTGGTAAACTCAAAGATGAAAGGTAAAAAAAAAAAACTTACGTAATAGCTTCCTTAACGGCTAAAAGATGACGGCGGTAAAAATTTATCCTTTGTGGATCATTGGTCCCTTGCTTTATTGAATTAATATTAGCATCGCCAATTCCTACCATTAATTCCAATATTTAGAATCATATAAAGGATATGAAAAATGACATTCAAAAATTCAAATTAAATTCATATATATGATCCAAAATATTGAGTTCAGATAATATTTTTCTCACCACATTCTGTGATATAAATAGTTGGATTTCTGTACTTTTGCTTGGTGTAGACGAGGAGATCTCTGAGCCCTCTTGGATACACATAAAAGATACTTACATTCGTCTGTTTGTTATTTAAAATTAATTATAAAAACATACTGAAATCAGTTATTTGTCACATTAATTCGATAATTTGGAACAAAATCTCGTAAAATTATTTCAAAGTAACTTACCGGATCACCGATCAATTTTCCATTTCTCTCGGCTGCAATATAGGAGGAAACGGAAGTACCAGGTGAAATGTTATATATGTTATAAATAGCATTTTTATTTTTGGGTAATCTATGAGCTTACTTGTAAGATTAGTTTGAGAATCTGTTGAGAAGCTCATGTTAACAGTATTGAAAGAATGAAGATTAGCAGCATAATTTGCAGTATAGTAATTGAGTCCCAAAAAATCAAAGGAGCCCTTCAACAACATAGCTTCTTCGAGTGTGAACTTTGGTAAGCGTTTTCCAACAAGATCGTGCATGCTTTTTGGATAATCTCCATATGTTAATGGCTCCAAAAACCTTCAAAACATCATAAGAACATTCATATTATCAAGATTCCTTACCAAAAATTGTTGGACAAGAAATTGATCTCCTGTCCGAATAGGATACGATAAAAACTTTTTACTGCTGAAGTGTCAAGGAACCCTACTTATGATTCTCTGTCAGGGCAGTTTTTGGACAATATTAAAGAGTAGAGTCTCATCACTTTATCTTCATCAGAGTATTGAATGGGACTAAATACTGTCACGAACAAAATTTTAGTTCTTACTTCTTTTATACCATTGAGTACTTCTGAACTCTTTAGCAAGCATAGTGTTAGCATTTATCTGGGTTCAATTTAACATTGTACTTACCATCCATACATAAAATCAAGGGCCCGTTGAGCTGCTTTCTTATCAACTTGGCTTTTGGAGTACGGCACAAACCAGTGAGACACAAGAGCTATGCCAATTTCGCCCTTCTGATGCGGCTATATATGTAAAATCATCAATATTACATAATTATTAGTAGCTATTTGTGCATATGTACAAGTAATTAAATATTGATCCAAAAAAAGGTAAGCAAAACAAAGCCTCTTAAGGTATGCAAAAGAGTTAATCAACCTGTCAATCATAGGCGGACCCACATGCGGTCATGTGGGGTCAAGCAACCCACAAAAAAAATTATTTGACTTTTTTTTTTTTTTCAAAAATTCTGTAAATTCATTTTGTGGTTTGGTTAGGGCCTCAAAAGACCACTGAATTGTTGGTGGCATAGAATAAAATAAAGGATTGGTGAGTACCTTTCAAGACCACTGAATTGCATAATTTCTAATGCAACACAAATATTATTACAATCCCACATTGCTTGGGAAAATATAAGTGATTCACTTTATAAGATGAGGGCAATCCTCCCCTAATAAGCCGGTTTTATTAGGTGGAGTTAGGCTCAACATTCCTAATATGGTATCAGAGTTAGNGTGCATATGTACAAGTAATTAAATATTGATCCAAAAAAATGTAAGCAAAACAAAGCCTCTTAAGGTATGCAAAAGAGTTAATCAACCTGTCAATCATAGGCGGACCCACATGCGGTCATGTGGGGTCAAGCAACCCACAAAAAGACCACTGAATTGTTGGTGGCATAGAATAAAATAAAGGATTGATGAGTGCCTTTCAAGACCACTGAATTGCATAATTTCTAATGCAACACAAATATCAAATAACTATTTCTCCAAGAAAATGTTTGCAAATTGACGTTAATTTCCGTAAAGTCACCATTCACCTACTTATGGAAACCATTGTTGGCAAGGACAGTTAGACTTTGAAATGAATAGATACAACTTTTCTAGAGGCAATGCAAATCGAAACCATGATTGGATTTAAGCAAAATCTTTATCATTTATTTATGCAGGGCTTAAAATTAGAATTGTAAGTGTATATCCTATTTCTGCCTTTGATAAATTATAAATAAAAATGAATCAGACAAAGTCAATTTACATGCAACCTAACATGTATTTGAAATCTGACATAATGCAAACCAAATAGGAAATATGCATAAACTTTTAATTTCTACCGCCGAGTTCTGCTCGAGTGTGCTTAAGGCACCCCATAACATCCCTAATTCTGCTATAGCAGTATTTTGGGCAAGAAAACTCTAACTTCCAAATTATGAAAACACGTAAACTACAATTATAGTAGTGTATTAACTTATTTTTATTAATATTATAATATTTTTTTAAATAAAATTGCATTTTAATGTTTGACCTCACAATACAAAAAGTTTGGCTCCGTCCCTAGTATCATTGTTATTGTTTTGGTTTCTTGTGCATAGATACACATCGAGGGAGGGAATATGACTCAATGTGATGCTTTCATTATAGTAACTTGTACAAATTTCACCTTTTTACTTCATACTTAATAAATATTGTAGTGAAAAACATAAATTTTGTACATATATACCTTGTACTTTTGCCTGTATAATTTGACTGTTTGGGCATGACAAAGGAGCATGGTGTGAGCAACAATGTAAGGCTCTGTGGCGGAGTTGCCGACATGACAGCCATTGTTCAGCCAAGAAGAACAACGTCCAGGAGCCAGTGCACCCGAGTCATAACCATTTACTATGAATATATATGGTTCATTCATAGTCAACCAATGCTTAACCCTATCACCAAATTCTTTGAAACAAACCTCTGCAAAATCTTTAAAATCATCCCTGCCGAAAATAAAAAAAAAAAAAAAACATTATAATCAATTTTAATGTTTCCCTTTTTCAATATACGATGTGACTAGCACATTGGATATAGGTCTATGTATTAGAAAAATACTAAGGTTGTTTTGTTGTTTGACATGATGTCAACATCTGGACGATCTATTTCAAATTTAAATTTCAATAAATAATTTAACTGTTCTAGAGATCTTGAACGAACTCTGATAGTACAGTCTTAACATTTTACTTAGGCTTTCGATAGTATGAAAGTTTCAATTAAGGTCATTAGTAGATAAATAGTAATCTAATTTAGGGCAATATTGACTTTGAGATCCGCTTAACGTGTACATGGAATTTGATTACTTACACAACACGAGGGCTTAGAAAGCCACCATACTCATCTTGCAGGGTTTGAGGAAGATCCCAATGATATATTGTGACGAAAGGTTGTATGCCTATCCATTTCATATATGAAACTCATAAGTATATAATTGAGAGAGAGAGAGAGAGAGAGAGAGAGAGAGATCAATAGAAATATCTCAAACCTTTTGACAGGAGCTCATTAATGAGGTTGTTGTAGAAGGTGATCCCTTCTTCGTTTACTCCTTTACTTAATTTCCCATCTGCATAAGTTCAATTAAAGTTTAATCAAGCTAAAAATCATAAAACAAGTATAAAAGAAGAAAAATAATAATTAAATTTTGTATACAATTTATGGGAGCTCATGAATAATTATTCAGTGAGGTACTTATTGAAGAAAATTCGTCAAAGATATACACGAGATAAATTAAAAAGATGAGTTACTTACAAAACAAACTTATCCATTGTTTGGGATACATTAAAATTGAATTTTTATTAAATTTTGATAAAAGTTGATCAACTGTGTGTTTGAAAAGTTGTGGATCCTATGAAATGTGTGGTTAAAATAAATTATTAATTTTGTCTTAAAATTTTAATCTAGATCAAATGAGATGTGATTTCCTTCCATGTAATTCAAGGAGAAATTGAAAGCTGCCTACAGCATAAATTACATATAATTGTTTCCAATTCCAGCCAATAAAAGAATTATCTTAACGCTATTTCTTTATAAGTAAACATTTTAAGATTAGACAATCATGTAGGTGTCTCAACTCACTTCCTACACAATTAATGAGTCAATCAAATATCACTAAAACATACCGAGCCGGCTCAAACATTCGGTGAGTTAAGCGATCACCAATGATTAATTGGAGGCCCCAAATTTTGATATTTATATATATTTACTTTTGTTTTTGTTATGAATTTGTCGATAATTAATAACATTAAAAAATCTTTTGATATTATGAACGCTTCATTAGTTAGTAATATTTAAAATAAAATTAGCTTAAAAAAATTAATCCGAAAAAAAAAAATCTCAACAAACAAATAAAGAAAAATAAAAATTAAATACAAACTGGAATTTCGCCTCAATTAAATAATTTTAAAAAAATAATTTACTTTAATTAATATTATAAAAAAAAGAATAAAAATATATTATTCTTATTTTTTTAGTTTGTTATAATAAAATAAAAAATGTAGAAATAATTATATTTTATGACTGACAACAACGACTTCTTGTTGATGACTAAGGGCCTGTTTGGTATGGATTTTGATTTTGTACAATAAATTAATTCTCATTTTCAACCACGCATTTTTCAATAAAATAATATTTTCCATCACATTAATAATTTTTTTTTTCTTTTTCAACCATACATTTCCCATCATATTACTATTCAAAAATCAATTCTTTCCCAAATAANATCCAAATATTATTTTATCAAAAAATATATACCAACTTGGCCCAAACCCATGACCCGTGCTGACCCGTTGGACGGCGGTGGCAACGTGCTTGGGCTTTGACTTAACCTACTAGCATGTATGTTCTCTCCCATTCAAAAAACTATTGTTACCCCTAAGAGTCCAAAACCAAGTTCTAAATTTGAGCAATATAAAGTGATTTATATTCTACTAGTTTTCCTGTGTAGGATTGTTATTGTTCAATTTTCCACCAATTTTTATTCCCAATTTATTTTAATTTCAAATGGTCATATTTTGTTTTTAATTTCTCATTCACCCTAAATTGATTTTGAGAAAATAAATACATTACATTCAGCCCCTGTTTGGCCCTCATTAAATTTTATTATATTACATTAAAATTTTCTCTCTCTTTATTATAACCACACATTCATCAAATAAAATAATAATAAACACAAATCTAAAACTTTTCATTACTTTTCCACCACACATTCTCCTATCAATCACTATTCCAAAAATTTTCAACTCTAAAAAATGCCAAAGAATGGGGGCCAAACAAGGGGTAATTTACTCATGGAGTAGAACACACTCGACAAAAGTATTCATTGTCGAACTAATGGGGCCTACTAAAATAATTGGTCAAAAGTTGGTCAAACCAACTAATAAAACCAATTTTTTCCACCAATATGTAGCTAAAAATGAAGTTCGATAAGTTGAATAATTGATATATTGTAAAATTTTATCAAACAATCACTTAACAATCGACTTACCACTCATAAATATGATTAATTTCAATAGTATTAGTTGTTACTTTACTCCTTATAGTTGAGTGATATGCATATTTGCAGACATTAAAAGTTGAATTTGAGGTCAGACGTCTGAGTCTGGTCTGACATCTTATCACGTGTTTACATATATTATAAATATCATGCATACATTTTCGGTGTTATGGATATAATATTTTACATTTTAGTTTGCAGTATAGTCTTTTCGCCCTTGTTTGATAAATTTTTTTTAAGATGGATTTTTGGAAAAATATTTATTTTGAATTTGTAAGACATTGGGATGCATTTTGGACAAAATTTAATACATTTCTGGACCGTTCTAAGGGCCAATGGCACCTAGTTGTGCAGTATATTCTAACTGCAAATGAAGCATAAAGACGGACATTTCATTACTTCTCGTAGAAAGAATTTTATGTGAAGTGGCAAATTGGTAATTTTACTGAAGGCAGTAAAAAAATATCTCCCTCCCTGACTCAAACACTGTAAAGCAGCCTGAAATTGGCTTAAAATGTGCACCAGACAGGCGCTAAGCAAAAAAGTAGATAAAATTATAAGGAAACTTGAAAAATGATTTCTTTTAAATCCATCGTATCCGATGCATGTCGCTCAAATGAGTGTAACATAAATAATTTTGAACTTCTAGACAATATAGAGGTAGGCATTTTTTAAATTTAAGTAGCTAATATTGAGTTTGAAGGGGAAAATATTTTTGATTCATATATTTAAAGACATTATCTTACGAGGTAAAATTCTTGTCCAGGAGATAGAAAATCTGAAGGCATTGAGTCCAATAAATTCCATCAGCTTTACATCTTCCTGCATGTCACCGTAATTTCTTAGCTTATGTATTTACCGCCCCTAACGTATAAACAATTCACGGACTAAATCTGAAGGAATATATTCATAATAATAATAATAATTAAATTTAAATTAAAATGACTTAGTATCAAGAATTAAAAGGTTAAAAAAAGAAAAAATTACCTTGTAACGATGATAAAAATCATTTGCTAAATCGCCAGTGCTGTTATCCGAAATTTTACCTACAGTAATTTATATGTTGTCATTGTTAGCACTATTTTAATTTGAGATTAAGCTCTCGTTTGTCATTCATTTTATCAAACATTATTTGCTACAGTAAACAATCTCCACCACATATTCACTCAATAAAATATTATACACACAGATCAATAAAATTACTTTACTTTTCAACCACACATTCTCCAAAAAATACTATTCAAATCTTTATTTCTTCTCCCAAAATGGGAGACAAACAAGCACTAAACAGTATGATATTTCCTAATAGCATTGTAAGAGAGTAAGAGACACAGAAAGAAAAGACAATAAAGATTTTTACTAAAAAAAAAAAAAAATGATTTCCCCATTAATCCAACAAATCCACGCTGAAGCGTACACAGAGAGAGAGAGAGAGAGAGAGAGAGAGAGAGAGGTTGAAGACCTGGAAATTTATGTGCAAATGTATCCCATATACTTGGACCTTTGCCATCCTCTTTTACAGCTCCTTCATACTGCAACAACATGTACACTTTCAGCTACATTATCATGTATGCAAATATATATAAACATACATTTGAGTGTGTGTGTGTGTGTAATATTGAAGAAACAGATTATTATGTGGTCACCTGATAGGCAGATGAGGATGCACCAAACACAAAATCAGAGGGAAAACTACTAATATTGAATGGAGTTGAAACATTGCTACTGGCCACATTTTCTCCTGAGACAGAAAGGATATGGAGGCACAATAAGTTGACTGTGATGAAGAAACAATGAAAACGATAGTCTTGGAAATCCATATCCCTTTCCGATATCAAGTTATCAATCACCGCTTTGCCCCCATATCTTATATATAGAGAGTGAATTTCCAACCATAAACATATAAAATTAATATATTGATGTGACTATAATATTGAAGTGTAATTTTTTTTATAAAAAAAATGCATCTCCCCTTTCCAGGGGTATACGAAGACATTTTGGGTTAAGGAACACAATTAAACATGCAAAAATAAAGGGGAAGATCAAAACTAGCACATTTATATCCGCTACATTTCTTCCTCAAATTTCAATATTTCCTATCTCTTCTTGTCTATCACTTATACTTCATAGAATTGTGTTTATATGTCTTTTTTATTATTTATTGGAATCTCAATGAGATCACAGATAATTTTGGTGAGAGACTTTAAACGAAATCAAGATCATATATGATGATGTAAAGGCTACTTGTTTTTGGTCCTATTAAAAATCGTTGTAACTGTTACGGCGCGTTAAAGTAGTACTTTTGAAAAGTTAGACGCCTCTTTTTAAAATGCACGTTTGATACATATTTAACTATTTTCGATATATCTATAATGTAGTTTTCGAAACGAACTTCAAGATAACTTAGGGAATTTATGGATTTCGCTAGCGTACGATGGTTGAAGAAATTTTAAGTTAACGTGATATTGAAATTCTCGAAATATTAGTTTGAAAAGGGCTACTTTGACGTATCTAACTTTTGCTACGATTGATCGTTTCGTGGGTTGTTAATGAAGCGAAAAATTAGGCCATGAGCACTTCAAAATGATATTGAAAATGCAATATTTGGACTTCGTTTTGCATCCCATAATAACCTAAAAATTGAGACAAAAACGTAGAAAATTTAATTGTGGTCAAATAGGGGCATAATTTATACACATTTTTATGACCTATCAAATTAGAAAAGTAGGAATTAATTTCAGTCCAAAAAGTCAGGGAATGTGAATGTCATTTGGATGTAATTTAAATTACATTTGGGTGTCATTTCAAAATCCTAAACACTAATCTTTAAATCAATGATCAAGCATTCAAAGATTTTCACAATACTTATTTTTTATTTATTAAAAAAAAAAATTGAAAGTTGATGGGTCAATTGACCCACTAGGACTCACATTGGGTCCACCACTGCCTCTCTCATAGCTTAAATTCTGAATGAGCATATATCAAAAGATTCAAAGAGAATTGAATTTACGTAGCATCATCCCTTATTTTTTGAAAATGTTTTGAACGTGAGCATTGCATTATTGAAGACTGCTAGTCGTGCAAGCATTATTGTTTTGTCAGAATTATTGTCCATATTTTGGCTGGCAACTTGTTTTGGTATTCCTGTTTAAGGCTGCTACATTAAAGATACAAGGGCCGTTTGATTGCAATGGTGAAAAATGGGTGGAAAGAAAATGAATTACAAGAAAGTAATTGCCTAGAAAATATTTTGCAGGGAATTGTTAATTAAGTGTGTTTAATTGCTACAATTTTCCACCCGAAAAATTTTTAAATTTTGTGTTCGTTTGATTTTGTTTTATATGGAAATTGCCAATTAAAGTGATAATTATTTCCACAATTAGTTATAAAATTGTTTCCATTTCCAAAAAGGAAAAAAAAAACGAAATTTTTTTTCTGAAAAATCATTTTTTAATCAAAGTTTAATGTTCATTTGACTTTGTTTTACATGAAAATTGTCCATTAAAGTGAAAAAAAAATTTACAATTGGTTATAAAATTTATTTTTATTGCAAAATAAAAAAAAATACGTCTGACTGGAAAAGGGGCTCGTGGGGAGGGGGAGGGAAAAAAATTTCTTTGCCAAATTTTAGTAATCAAACATTACTTTTTGGTGAAGTTGGAAATTATTTTCCTTTTTCCTAGGAAAATCCATTCCATCAAACATGACCTAAGTTTGATGATAAGAATGAAATTTGGGTGGAGAGAATAAATTTCAGGGAATTGAATTGTTTAGAATTTGTTTTACTTAAAATTCTCAATTAATTATGTTTTTTTTTGATTTAGATAATTTTCAACATGAAAAACATTGAAATTTTGGATCTTTTGGTGTACTTTGTTTTTCATGGAAATTGTTTATTAAAATGATACAATTTGTTACAATTTGGGATAAAATTTATTTCCATTACAAAAAAATAAAAAAAAAAGTTGCCTAGAAAAACTTTTCCAACCAATGTGGTGGGAAAAACTTTCTTCAAAAATAAAAAAATGTGAGCATGTGGATGAAAGATGAAAAATCAATTCCATGAAAAATTTGAACAATCAAACATGCAAAAATGTGAAAAATAAAATTTAATTTCCATCTTCTATGAAATTAAAGTGGAATCAAATATGACCTAAATTCATTTGTCAAGAAATGACAAGGAAAATAGTTATACCATCGTGTGTAATGAGATTTTGGGCACCAAGAAAGAAAAGTCAAGAGTTTTGATTATCGAATTGAATCTTCATTTCCTATCAATACATTCAATTTTTCCGAACTAGGTATATTTATCTTCTCTTAATTTTTTTTTCTTATATTCTTTCTACTATGTCTGTTATAGTGGGGTGATATTTTTCATCCCAATAAATATTTGATGTACAACATTTGTTAGACAAGATTACTTTAGATCGACTTTTGACACTAGACATTACTAAAAGCAAATAATTCAAATATTTGTTATTCTAATATTATTAATGCAGGTTGTTACACCTCATCCTACGACACTTCAATCATCGATCGTGGCAGCGAGCTAACAAGCCAAATTAGACTCGCACTCCATGTCACGCCTTACCTAACCTAAATAAGACCATAAAATATAGGTAGTTGAAGTCATGCACACCTCTACCGGGGTGCCGTGAAGAGGCCAACCCTCCATGGTTGAGACTAGGTGCCACGAGGTGCTGAAGAGTAAATCTAAACTGATTAGCCCCTCAATGTGGTAAGACATTTTTCTACTTCATCTATTCCAAGAGATCTTTCGTACAAAGATCTTGTGAGTAGTGTTTTAAAAAGAGTAAAACGTAGTTAGGTGTGGAGACGAAATTTCAAACATTACGAGTTTAAGTAAACTTAGGCGAGACCTAAGCGTAAAAAAACGTTTTCTTATTTTAATATTATTTAAAAGTTTTAATAATTCTAAAAATTATTTAATAATTAAAATAAAACATACCAAACATCTAAAATTGTAAAATATTTTATTTATTTAACAATTCGTATAATTAGTCAATTATACAATTTTTAATTTTTTGAAATGCACAAATTAGACTATTTTTAATACTATCAATTTACAACTAGGTAAGTCATACTTAATAAATTTATAGGAACTTAACACATGCTTTTGGAGTTTTCAACAAAATAATGAATCTCAAAATCATAACTACATAATAGAGATAACCAGGGGCGGATCCAGCATTTTTCGTTCAGCTAGAGCGGACTGTTGACTGATCAACGATCGTAATAGCCGAAAATAAAATTCAATACATAAGTAAATACACTAAAACGTAAAAAGTATATACATATGAAATTATAATTCAATATAACCCAAAATACTAAAAAAAAAAAAAAAAACAAAAAAAAAAACAACC